CTCCTGCTCCTCGTCCTCCTCTTCCTCCCCCTCCCAGTCTCTTTCAAGCTGCCTGTTTTCTTTTGCTGGGCACTGTGCTGGGGTCAGGACAAGTGCCAAAATGGAGGCACAGGGCCGCCTCTGTGTCCACACTGCTTTCTGGCCAGTGCTGTGGCCCAGCACATGCCTGCCTGGGCTCGGGGCACTGAGCAGTTGGCCTGCTTTGAGAAGGGCAGGAGGATCTGCATTTCCTCATTGTTTTAGGGACTTAAAAAAAAAGTTTTGTTTGTTTGGTACCAGAGATCAAACTCAGGACCTTGTGCTTGCAAGGCAGGTGCAGCGCCACTGAGCTAAATCCCCACCCCTTTAAAAACATTTTTAAAACTACGGGTGAACCGGGCACGGTGCTGCACACCTGCAATTCTAGCACTCAGGAGGCTGAGGCAGGAGGCTGACCTCAATTTCAAGGACAGCCTGGACTACATAGGGAGGTCCTGTCTCAAAAAGCAGAAACAAAACAAAAATCCTGTGGGTAATATATATGATATATATGTTATAGAATCTTCCCTCTGTACTTGAGGGCGTGGCTGCAAGACCCCAAGTACATAAAATGGTGTAGGGTGCACACAAGCCCTGTGCACACCCTGCACTTTTGAGCAGCTATGGATCCCTCAACAAGCCCGTGTACAAAGGCGTCTCCGGGCGTGGGTGCACACACGTGTCTGCCTGGTTTGGGTGTGTGGTGCTGGGATCAAACCCTGGGCCCACGTGTGCTAGGCAGGCGCTCTGCCTCTGAGCTGTACCCCAGCCCCCGAATGTTTTTCATCTGCCACTGTTTAGTCCTGGATGTGGAGCTGGTGGGTGCAGAGGGCGGTTACATTTGTCACCCATCAACACACCCTGCTTGGTGCCGCTGCCTCCCAGCTACACCTCTGCACCATTAAACCATTGCTCTGCCCCCCACGCCGTGCTACTTATTTTTATGCTCTTGGAAGTGGGACTGGGGCCTCACACGTGCTAAGTACATTGTGCTCTATTCCTGAGCTGTACCCTGATTGCTTTCTTATTTTACTTGGAGGTTGCGTCTCCCTAAATTGCCCAGACTGGCCTTGAAATTTCGATCGTCCTGCCTTAGCCTCTGTAGTACCTGGGATAACAGGCCTGCCTCACACCTGGCTGTTTTATGCTACTTTCTGTCCAGATTTTCCAGTTCTGGGTACCTGTGTCTGATGGACCATAGAAGGACATGAAACCACTCATATATGTGGAATCCCATAGTCCTGTCTCTGCTGTCATTGACTTCTCTTAGTGTGACACCTTGATCCGTGCTGGAGTGTGTGTCAGAATTCCCTCCCTTTTTAGAGCCCAATAATGTTCTGGGGCACAGATGGGCCACATTTCTGTGTATCCATCTCCTGTCGGTCCGCAGGCGTCGCTACACCTTTTGACTGTGGTGAATGATACTGCTATGAACATGGGTGTCCAAACGTCTATTTCCGTTTTCTGGATGTGTGCTCAGGAGCTGAGTTGCTGGACCACACAGGAGTTCTGTGTTTGGGAAAGGCCCGAAGTGCAGTGGGGGCAGTGGCGCCCGTGGCTGAGCCTGATCTCACCGAGGGGCCACATCCTGAGCTCTCGCTTCCTTCCTCCCTCACAGGCCCGGCATGCCTTCAGAAACAGCCCAAGCAGAAAGTGGGGCTGCGGGGTGCCCGCACCTCTCAGTGGTGCACGCAGGGGACAAGGAGCGCCTGTGGATCCCGCCAGACGCCCCAAGCAGATGCACCTGGCACCCGGGCAGGCCTGCCACTGACTCCCCGCATCGCCACACTGGCCTGTGCGTCTCAGCTTTTGATCTGAGTGGTCAATCCGTAGCTGGCGGGGAGGGTGTGGCACAAGGAAGCCAGAGACCCAGGGGACACAGGATGGGGTCCTGCTTGGGGTCCTGCTTGGGGTCCTAGAGCACCTCAGAGACCTGGCAGGCGCAGAGTCTGAGGTCCCATGGACTGGCACCAGGTTGGTGTCCAGCAAGAGGACGGGACGCTCAGGAAGCCCTGGAGGGTGAGCTGGCAGATGTGCCAAGCTCTGGCTTTCCTGCAGTACTCAGCCAGGTGGGCTGGGCAGAGCGCCATCTGCCTGCATCTCGGTGACTGGCCAAGTGCGGGTGCTGCTGGCCGCTCACCTGGCCCAGGCCAGACGCACTGGCAGCTCTGTGTCCTCGGCCTCAGCCCAGGGGCAGGACAGGAAGTGTCCCCACATTCAGATTCGGGGACCAGAGGGTGGGGTTCCAGGCAGCAGCGCCTTTATAGTGAGAGGAACCTGGGTCTGGTTAATGTTTTTACTGGGAATTGCTTTTAATACAACATTAACCAACATTACTGTATTTGGGGTGTTTTTGTGGTACTAGGGATTGAACAAGGGACGTTTGCAGTGAGTGTAGTGCTGGCCTTGAAATCTCTGTGTAGCTCAGACTGGCCTCAAATTCCCAGCAGTCCTTCTGCCTCAGCCTAAGTGCTGGGATTACGGGTGTGTGCCACCACACCCGGGTTATTACCTTGAGACAGGGGCTCACTGTGTGTGTGTTTAGGTGTGTTCACTATATCACTTTCTCCCGTGTGTGTGTGTGTGTGTGTGCACGTGCACGTGCGGGTGCGACCACCCAGATCCCTTCTTACAATTGATTCTTATTTTTTAAAAAATGCATGTGGACTGCCAGCATTTATTACTTTGTTTTGTTGTTTCCTGAACGTTGTGGCCTCCTCTTGTTTTAGGGCAGAATCTCCAAAAATTTTGCCAGATATTCTGAGCAACATCGGGAACACCCCAATGGTCAGAATCAACAAGGTCGGGAAGACCGCGGGGCTCAAGTGCGAGCTCTGTGAGTGACAGGCCGGCTCCTCCTCTTCTGGGCTGTGGGGCGCTACGTCAGGGCCCTGGGGTGTCTGGAAGAGGGGCTCACAGTTGCCAAGACCACATCGCCAAGGTTCAGTGTGGGAGGAAAAAGCCGGGTGGCCCAGCCTGGGCGGTGCTGGCCCCGGGGTGAAGATCTTCAGAGCCCTGGTCTGGATCGGCTCCCGTCCCTGCCCCAGCAGCCTCCCTGGAGGCCTGGGAGAGCAGGAGGGCAGTGAGGAACAGGCTCCTGCAGGTCAGGGAGAGGAGAGGGACTGGGACTCAGGACAGGATGCCTGGGGGACAGAGCTGTGACCCAGAGGGCCCAGGGTTGGAGGGAGTCAGGGTCCTGGCACTGGGAACTTGGAGGTCCCAGGAGGGGCTGTGAGGCCTGGCTCTCCTGTTCCCCCTCCTGGGGGTGGTCTCAGGAAGGGTAGCAGGGAGCGACCCCTCCACTGACACCCTCAGCCGAGGATGAAGGCAGCAGCAGCCTGGAGTGATTTGTGTGCCCACCTTCCTGACAGATGGGCTGAGGCCGAGTATTTTTTTTGTTTTTTTGGTACCAGGATCGAACTCAGGACCTTGTGTGCTTTTGAGGCAGCTCCCACGCCACTGAGCTAAATCCCTGGGTCTAGTGGCTTTATTACTAGTTAGGGTGCCATCCCTGGGAGTGCAGTGTGGCCATGCACACAGCACCCCCGCCTGGTTCTTGGGAAATCTGGTGGTTTTCAGAAAGAAAGACGAAGCCAGATGTGGTGGCACATGTCTGTAATCCCAGCACTGTGGCAGGCTGAGACAGGAGGATCTCCAGTTTAAATCCAGCCTAGGCAATTTACAGATTTAGTGAAACCCGGTCTTAGATTAAAACAAAATAAAAAGGGCCGGCAATGTAGCTCAGTGTGAAGATCCTGGACGATGATGTGAGGATGGGGTTGAGGATCAACATCAGGACCAGGAGCCGGTCTAGCTGGGCTCTGGGTGCGGGCAGTGACTGCCCTGTGTGGAGGCTCCGATCCGGATGCCCCTGCAAGCTTTCCCGGGGTCCTGGGCGTCCACCACGTGGGACCTCCGTGCCGAGCCAGGCCAGGGTCAGCGGAACCAGCCGGGGTCGGGTCCTCTTCTCCCTGAGTTATCTCTGCTTCCCAGTGGCCAAGTGCGAGTTCTTCAACGCTGGCGGGAGTGTGAAGGACCGCATCAGCCTACGGATGGTCGAGGACGCAGAGCGCGCCGGGATCCTGAAGCCCGGGGACACCATCATCGAGCCCACGTCTGGGAACACAGGTGCCCGGCCGGGCGGGCTGGTCCCGGAGCGTGGCCTTAGCCCTGATGAGCAGCACACGGCCCCGCTCACCCTCCGTGTGCTGCCGCTGCCGCAG